GGCGGAAAATAAGGAGCTGAAGCGGAAGGCCACCGTGATGTTCCGATTTGGAGGGCCGCCATATGCTGCAGTGGAGGAGCAGGGAGTAGTGATCGTGCCCAGTGGAGGGGGAAATACGGAGGCAACACCGGCAAGGGCCGCCCAGGACGGAGGCAAGAAGAAGAGACCGGCAGCAGAGTAGATAAGAAAAATCCCGCTGTGGGTGTGGGTGTTTTTTTTTTTTTTTTTTTTTTTTTTTTTTTTTTTTTTTTTTTTTTTTTTTTTTTTTTTTTTTTTTTTTTTTTTTGTGTAAGTGTGATCGGGGTTGATCCCTGAGATGAATAAAAGGAGATTGGTGTGCAGTTCTTCGTCTGCTTTTTTTTTTTTTTTTTTTTTTTTTTTTTTTTTGGAACAAGCGATGATGGAAAGGAAAAATAGAAAATAAAATAAAAATTAAAGGTGGCAAAAATAAAGATGTGAAAAGTGGACTGTTGTGTGGTCTTCAATAAAGATGGGAAAAGCTGAGGACGGGCTTGGTGTTGGGTTGTGTTGGTTTTGTATAATAATAATAATAATAAGAATAGAAAGTTGGCAAAATGGTGGGTGTGCTTGAGTGGAGATCAGTGTGAGGTGTTTGTTTTTTTTTTTTGTTGTTGTTGTTTTTGTTTTGGTTTGTTTAATAATAATAATAACAATAAAAAAATAAAATAGATAAAGAAAACAGAGAATATTTTTGGGGGGAGGATGTTCAGGCGGTGGAATATATTATAGAGTTTTGGATGAGTGGGTGCAGAGGTGAAGATTGGTTTAAAAAAATAAAAAGGGGTATAGGTGAGACATGGTGGGAACAAAGAGAATAAAAAAATAGAGGGTGAGGAACAGGAGGATATGGGATAAAGACCAGAAAAAGTAAAAGTAAATAAATAAAAGAAAAAGTAGATCGGCTTAGAGGATGGGTGAGGGATTGGATCAGATCAAACGAACACAAATCGATCACCAGCTGCCACCCCCACTTGTCCTATTATCATAATCATACAAGCATTTTTTGCTTCAGTTTGTGCATCAAATCTAGCAGTTGCAATGGCATCTACCTCATCAATCAAAATAATTGCAGGCGCATTCTCTTTGGCAAGACGAAAGACATTACGAACCATTCGAGGACCCTCATCCAAGTATTTCTGAACAAACGCAGAACCAACCACTCTTATGAAGGCTGCTGTCGTGTGATGAGCAACAGCCTTAGCAAGCATGGTTTTACCTGTACCAGGTGGACCATAAAGCAAAACACCCCGTGGAGCATCCCCATGGTGGTGGTAACCATCAACATATTAGTCATGCCAGCACTGTTTCGCCGTGATGCACCACCTGGGCAAAAGGTTGGTCTTATTGCTGCCAAGAGGACTGGTCGTCTCTGTGGACAAACCGCTGCTACCGCGGAGAGCTTGTTGAGGAGAGATGAGAAGATGAGAAGGTGAATGTAACTAGATTCAAGAGCAGGCTTACAGGCATTCATCAGCACTTTCCCACCTTGAATAGCATCGACCAAATAGACAGCATCTGGAAAAGCAAGCTGCATGATACAAAGAGTTCCATATCAACAGGCTTCATATCATCGTCACCAATAGACCGCGTAACCAGTAAAAAATATGTGATTAATAAACTTCAAATTCAACCACAAATTATTGATTATTGCTTTCACATCATGTTGAATACTGGAAGCACGGGCAAAGAGTGGGGCCGGGCAGGGACCATGTGTTCCTGTTTACCCACCCTCTTCTTGTTTCTTTATTTTTTAAATCTAGTTTACAGAAACCTCATTAAATAGAAACCAACCTTTTGTTTCTAATTCATTATTTAGAATTTAAAAAATAAAATAAATAAAATATCAGCTATTAGCTCAGTGCTATCTCTTAATACCCAAAAAGATAAGGTGCAAGGTTCAGGCCCTCACAAGACATGAAGGAAAAATAAAAATAAAGGAATATATAACTTTAACAAATTAAAGAAAAAATGTTTGCCTACTGTAGGTGTGCTTTGTTGGTGGACATGCTAGCAAGTTTGGTTGAGAA